GTACGAAGGCATCACCACTGTACCGCGCCATACAAAATCATCGCCCCTGTACCGCAACATTACGGAGGAATCGCCGCTGTACCGCAACAATATAAAGTTATCGCCACTGTACCGCAACAGTACGAAGTCATCGCCGCTGCACCACAACAGTATGAAGGCATTACCACTATACAGCAACAATACGAAGGCATTGCCACTATACAGCAACAAGACCAAAACGTCGCCGGCGTACAACAGAACAAATATGTTGCCACTGTACAGCAACACGATAAAGACGTCGCCGTTGTACCGCAGCAGTACAAAGACATCGCCGTTGCACCACAACAATATGAAGAAATCGCCAATGTACAGAAACAGGACAAAGACGTCGCCGGTGTATTGCAACAGGATGAAGGCATCGTTGCTGTACCACAGTATAAAGTCACTGCCACTGTACAGCAACAAGACAAATATATTTCCGATAAATCGCAGCAATACGAAGACATCGCCGTTGTACCACAAAAGTACGAAGAAATCGCCACTGTACAGCAAGAGGACAAAGACATCGCCGTTCTACCGCAACGGTACGAAGGCATTGCCGCTGTACAGCAACAATATGAAGGCATTGCCACTATACAGCAACAGGACAAAGACGTCGCCGGTGTATTGCAACAGGATGAAGGCATTGCTGCTGTACCACCACAGTATAAAGTCACTACCACTGTAAAACAAGAAAACGAATCCGTTTCCGATGAATCGCAACAGGACGAAGGCATCGATGTTGCTCCACAACAGTACGAAGACGTCAAAGACTTCACCGCTCTACAGAAACAAGATGAAGGCATCGCCGTTGTACAGCAACAGGACGATAATATTGCATCTGTACAGCAACAAGATGAAGGTGTTACCGCTGTACAGCCACAGAACGAAACCGCTCTACAGCAACAAGACGAAGGCGTCGCCGTCGTACAGCAACAGGACGAAGATGTCACTGCTGTACAGCCACAGAACGAGGGCGTCGCTGATTCAATGCTGTACAGACCGCTGCCATTAGACCTAGACACTGACATTATACAGCAAAAAGACGAAAACATCGCCTCTATACAGCAACAGGATGAAGAGGTCACTGCTGTACAGCAACAGACCAAAGACGTCGCTAGTTCACTGTATATACCTTTGCTACAGGACGTATATACCGATGCTGTACAGCAACAAGACGAAGGTGTCGCCGTTGTGCAGCAACAGGACGAAGACGTCGCCGCTGTGCAGCAACAGGATGAAGGTGTTGCCACAGTGCAGCAACACAACGAAAGCGTCGCTGTACAGCAACAGGACGAATACGTCACCGCTATAGGTCAACAGCCCCTTGATAGTGTTGAAAAGGTTATCCATTCTGCGGACATACAAGTATCAGACAGAATTAAACGACGACGCAAGAAAATCAATTATTTGGAACAGGACGAAGACGACACTACTGTAGAGCAACAGCCCCTTGACAATGATGAAAGAGCTATTCATTCTGTGGACATGCAAGTATCGGACAGAATCATTAAACGACGACGCAGAAAAATTAATTATTGGAAACAGGAAAAGGACGACACTGCTGTACAGCAACAGCCCCTTGACAGTGTTGAAAAGACTATCCATTCTGCGAATATGCAAGTATCAGACAGAATTAAACGACGACGCAAGAAAATCAATTATCGGGAACAAGACGAAGACGATACTGATGTGGAGCAACAATCCCTTGACAGCGATGAAGAGGTTATTCATTCTGTGGACATGCAAGTATCGGACAGATCTGTTAAACGACGACGCAAGATAATCTCTTCTCGGGAAGACGACACTGATGTAGAGCAACAATCCCTTGACAGTGATAAAGAAGACAGCGATTTTGATACTTCCTCCAGGGGAATTTCTGGGGATAGAATTATTAAACGACGACGCAAGAGAACCAATTATCATTGCTATCGTTCAGCTCACAAACTTACATTGTCTTCCGAACATAAGGAGCAACGTGTCGCATTTTCTTTGGGAAACTTGACGACGAGCCGCGAGGAGTGGGAAGTAACAATCTGGACTGACGAAAGGATCTTCGTATCGCCACCCCACCAACCTCACATATCAGATGATCAAAAGCGTTCGAATTATGTTGTGTCGACTCATAGTGCCGAGAAAATTTCGTGTACAATGTGGGGATGGATTTCCGGTGGTGTTATCGGCGAATTGGTCGGCGTTCCAACAAGAATGAACTCCGCCGAGTACATTCAGATTTTGGAAGAGGTTCTTCTTCCATCGGTGCAAATAATATATCCCCCGGAGGAAGTATCAACTATCCGATTAGTGCAAGATAGAAGTGGGGTCCATTTATCACGTGAAACACTAAAATGGTTTCAAAATCATCCGGAGATTCATTTAATCACTTGGCCTGCTCGTTCGATCGATCTAAATTTAATCGAAAATGTCTGGGAAGAAATAATTCAACGCTGGAAACCAAGAAAGGAAAAGACAGTGGAAGCGTTAGTCGATCATGTGAAAGAACTTTGGGAAGACCTTCGGTCACAACCTAACTTTCTAGCAAACTTAGTTGATTCGATACCTAATCGACTGAATCAAGTTATTAAACGTGGAGGACAATGGACTGACTACTGACTTAATTATCAGTTTCAATTTTTTCAACACAAAAATCGGTTCTTTTTACCAAGACCATCAAAAATTTGTAGCAGTATTTACATCGCAATCAGTATAAGAAAAGTGATTTATATTGTCGAATAAAATCTTAAAAAATATACGTTGCAAAACAATGTTCAAGAACTCATTCAGAGTATTCATTCATTCACCGAAATGCAATTGAAAAACGGAGAACAATGGTTAAGCATTCGCCCGTGTGTTTAACTACTAGTTTCATAAACGCTCGCAATAAATGTCTATAATTAAAATTTGTCCGAACTGATCCTTGGTGACTTAATTATGTTTGTCGGAAGGAGAAAAAGCGCGAGAAAAAAGCATTTGAACGAAACGCAATGCAGTACAGTTCAATTCGAATGCCTCCGTATCGCGGTATACGCGGGACAAAATAGTTATTGAGACACCGGCTAACAGCATCACGTATCATATTACTGTCTCTCTTTATCGTACGTCTCACGCAAAGGACGGAGTATCGGAGTAGTTCCCACTACTCTTAACTTCACTACTACTATCTCGTTACACTCGAGAGCGAGTGCGCACGACAAATGCCGCCTGTGGTGGGGGCTATCCGTTTTCGCGCGTGCCCCTCATCCGTATATACGAATATCATTTCTATCGGTGCGCGTACACGAACATACGTTATAATATATACATTTATATGCAGAGGGGAGTCCTCTATTATGAGATAGGCTCCTAATATGAGATAGCGGTTTCTACTAAATTAATAGGCATCATCTGTTGATCCCATCACAAATTTATTACTATCGGAGGGAAATCTGTTTAGTGGAAAATTCGTTGTTAGATTGTGCGTGTAATGGTTGCAAAAACGTTTTGTAAAATTGGATGTTAAACATCCGCTTTTCTTATGTTAAGAGCCTATTTTACAATAGGGGGCTTTCTTCTATACTATATGTATATATTATGCACGTAATTAATATAATTTTGATATATGTTGTAAAAAATTCAGAGTTTCGCGATATAAACATAATTGCTGTGATATGAGAATAGAATACATAAAAAGATATAAAAAAAAGATAATAAGTGGATTACGAGAAAAATTTAAGATTTAAAATAACTACAAAAAAATCGCTCGTTGACCAAATCACGAAAAAATCAATCAAACAAGGCCAGCAACTCCAAGGCACCATAGCATTCAAAAACCGTACTATCAATCGCTTCTCTTTCATACTCGAACTCCTCTTCAATTTCCTTTTAATTAGTAAAAAAATTAGTAAAAGCGTTCAATATTAAATTTGGCAACAGCTTACCCAAAAAGTAGAAAAATTTTAACTTCGGTTAGGAAATAGAGCGTCATATAAATACCTGTGATTGCAATGAATGTTGCATCTGCTGTTGCAATTGTTGCTGCAATTGTGGATGCTGCTGCTGCTGCTGTTGCTGCAGTTGCTGTTGCAGCTGTTGCTGATGCTGCAGTATTTGCTGCTGCTGCTGCATCGAAGCGTTGCCGCTGCCACTTGCAGTTTGAGGATTTTGCCCGCTTTGATTTCCGTTTGGTAAGCCTGCCGACATTAATATCAATGTTAGCGAGTATCTTATTAAAATAAATATTTATCATTGTTAAATTAGCCTTATATTACCACTGGGTGCTGGGCCTTGAGCGGGTGATTGCGCCCATCCTTGCAGATCCGACAACATATTCTGCCAGACGGCAATCTTGTCATTGTGCCTTTTTATCAGCTCCTCCTTACGAGCCAGTTCCACTCTCAGATCGCTGATGTCTTCTTTGACTATCAGCTCGGGTTTTAGCGCAGACAGGAGGAATCTCTTTTGCAAGAAGAAAGCCTCCATCTGCCTAGCCAAGTCTATGAATCTCATGGTAGCCTGTTCCATTTCCGCGCGACCTTCGTCCTTATCCACCATCAAACCACCACCAAACGCACCAGTTCCACTGTTGCCCAATCCCTCATCCTTTGTCAATATACTCAAACATTGCTGGAAAGTAATTGATTGACATTCAATAAGCCATACATTCTACAATGTTTCGGCAGAGTCGACACGACCTTTAAAAGACATTTTGTGTTGAAATAAATTTATAATCACACAGATAACGCTATATAGACCCAGAGAAAAATAATACCTAAAATACTTCATTACATTTAACTTATGTAAATGTTTCCAGCGTACAATAGTAACTCGTTCTTAGACAAGTCTCGAAAAATTGAGAAAACCTGTATCTATGCGAATACTTATATTACGACAATTAGTGCTCTATATTTTCAAATATGTTTCGTTTGTGCCGACTTTCATGGTTACTTCAGTTAAAATTCTTCCATACACTTCTCTTTCTCTCGCACTCAAAACCACCACAAAGATTCGTCAGCATCGATACCATTTTCCAGTACGTCAAGCCACATTATTTTTAGGTTAAAAAAGACAAAAACAGTTTCTAGCTGAAAAGTGCCGCGGAACGCTAGAATATCGACGAGTACAGTCGTTGCGATAATTCCTTGAACTTGGTATCCAAGGTGCGTTACTTTTGCGAGGAAATGCCACGGAGAACGCGCCTCGTGTACGCGGACGCGAATAACGGGGCGATGCATCAATTAACGGCGACACGGGGCGACGCAAAGTATGGATTCTACCTGAAAGGATTCCTCGAACTCGTCGACGATGTTACCACCGCTGTTGGTCGGCGTCGCCATTACAGTGTTGTATCCGCGTGGATCCGCGCGCGAAAATAATCGGCCCGGTTCCGCGCTCGACTCGATCCCGCGGGAATGCGCGAAACTCATCCCGCACGCGACACGCGTGGATAAATGGACCCCTTCCCACTGATTTCATTCACGACCATAGATGTGCTGCATCCATGATGAGGACAGCAATAGATGGTAGGTCTGTTCTTTACAGCAGAATTGGCTGCGCTAATTCAGTTACAATGAACAGACCTGAAGCAATCTGGCGGATGCGCGGGGTCAGCCAATCAAAAGTGGCCCAAACTACCGAATTGACCAGTCAGAAATCTGCCCCAACCTTCAAACTGCAAATTATTGCGGTTGAATGCAGGAAGAATCAATAAACAAATAGTTTGTTAATAGTATTAATCTTATACACATATACTAGTCGAATAATTATATCTACAAGATTTAATTAAATACATAAATTAGTACAAAATATTATGTATATACTTTATGGAATAGGATTGTCATATATGTGGGAATTGCTTATTATTTATATTTATAATTATGGAATTGATAATACTTGTGTGGAAAAGAAATTTTTCAATGCTTTCTCGTATGAGAAAGTATTCTAGAAAAACTGTATAATTTGATAATATTAAGATAGCTTTTAAATAGTAAGAATAAAATTTTAAGAAATACTAATTTGAAATACTAATTCATTATGTTCCACCAGTAGAAGCTTTAAAAACTGGCGCGAATAGAAGGAAAATGGCGGACCAATCACAGCCTGCTATCTTATGGCCACACTCTTATTAGTGGGGTCTCTATTGAAGTGGGAATATAGCATTGGTGATTGGTTCCGCCATTTTGCTTCAAAGCTAATGAAAACTTTAACAAGACTGTCC